GGCTGGTCTCCAGTGGGTGCCGCTTTCAATGTCAAGCCCCAGGGCTTGCGCCTGGACCTGTTTGGAGAGCGCCGGGTGAGCGGCGCGGGGCAGGGCTCTTGTTTGCTGGGATAAACTGGCTCTCTTCTCCGTGGGGAGTGGATGGGGACAAATCTTGCGGGGTCCGGGAGGACATGGCCAGAGAACCCACGTTATACAGGAAGTGTTTGCGCGCCTGCTGTTTGAAGGGCTGGGTTAAAGGGAGCGGGGCGGTTTTTAGTGATCCCCTCACCAAAGTTTGGGTCCTAGGACCTATCTCTGTGTGAACCCCTTCCTCCACAAAAAGTTAAAGTAGTTCATCTTGGAAGTGAATTCCGCCCCTCTGGTGCCATCCTCTCCTGACGCTGAGCCCAGCTCCTACTAAATTCACTTTTGCTCCAACCGTACACGTGTGAGTTCACATTCGGTGACAAGTATTCCTTTTGCAAGGACACACATGCCTTTAGTTCTGTCATTAGTAATTGCACTGATGCCTGAAATTCCATTAACTTTTTTCAAAGCTTTGGGCTCTCTTGTTTTGTGTGTGTGTTTTTGGTAAAGAAAAACAAAACAAAAAAACAAAACAAAACAACAACAACAAAAAAAACTGTTGAAAAGAAGTTAACTTCATGTGGTGCTGTGGAGTTGTTCACATTGATTTCTTCCTTCAGGAAATTACTGATGAATTCTTTGGTCTCTATTAATTTCTATATCCTTGCTGCCCAGCATGGTGTCTGGCTTCAGTAGTCAGTAATATTTGTTGAATGGCTGAATTAAAGGTGAATGGAAGGCAGGGTTGAAAGGGACTTACCCGATGCCTGTTCTACTTTACTTTTGTGGATTATGTCAGTTTTAGGTTTTACTTTTAACTTTATTATCTCTTTATTATGCCATTAAGTTTTATACAAAGTGGAGTCTAGAATATTGTTGCAGTAAATTTAATGATGTTTTTATTTTATTTTATCTCCTTAATTAGCTTTGTTCATTTTCAAATTTTTGCATGAAATTTGCCACACTAACTTCCATATAAGTAAATAAAAAGGTTGATATTAACAATTGGTGTGTGGAGAACTACCTATCAGTTCTGAACAGAAAGAAGTGAAGCGTAAGGTAGATTTGGGGTGGATGAAATTTTAGGTTTTTTTTCTTTCGTACGTCATGATTTTAAGTACTGAAACCAGATTTTCAAATTTATGGATTAGTTTTTGACTGAAAAAAAAGGTTTGTTTAGTTTTTTAGTATTACCATAACTTATAGTCTGAGGTTTAGAATTCCCAAGGGTAGTATGAAGAGGTGTACACGGAAGTAGAGCTAGCCTGTGCTTGACTCAGATGAAATCAGTATAAAGATAAAGTTTATATATGTTTCTGATTCTACTCTGCCTCCAACTATTTTTATTTTCTTCAAGTTCTTAGTATTGTTTGAAGAGAGGTTAACAACTTAACTTGCTTTCTTACAGAAATAGTAGGCCTTACCAGGCCTGAAAGTTTTACCTCCTGGTATTTCCCAAAATCATCATGTTAAGCGTCTAGAAAGTTAATTTACAAAGTTTAGCATGTGCTCCATTAATTGGATTCATTCCAGTTCCCTATGTTTTAGGTACTATGTTGGGCAGCTGGTTAAAATGATGAAGGGTAGGGCTCTGCCTCTAGAGCTCGACTTCGAAGGAGAGAAAACTTTCAAACAGATGAATTGCTATACAGAAGTATGGAGAAAGTGTGGGCTTTAGAGGTGTAGTGAACCCATTCAAGTTCTGATTTTCCCAAAATTAATTAGTGACCTCAATCTTTTTCTTCACTCTTAAGTCTGTCTCCTTATCTTAAACAATGAGTGGTAGTTCCTGCTCTAGAATTGTGGTATTTAAGTGAGAGGGTTGTATAAAGTACATAGTTCACTGTTTGGCATGAAGTAGATAAAGTAGATGTGTGCTTTCTCTCCCTCTCCCCCTCCCCCCCAGAGTGCTAAAATAAGTGTGGTTGAACTGGTCCAAAAATAAGATTGTTCCCATTAGATTAGTAATTTTTGTCTTTATAGGATATTTAAATGCTTTTGGAAACTGTAAAATTTGCTGCAAGTTTCAGCCTATGACTTGGTTTAACATGATTATTAAGTCTTTCTGAAATATCTGTGTGGTTGGTTAATCAACTCATTGTCCCTAATTTATAATTGTAGAATAATTTGTGTTTTGTACTGGACCTCACTAGATGCCAAACAGTGTTTAAAGGACTTACATATATTTTCTAGTACCTGTATGCATGCTGTGAGATATGTATTGTCATCCCCATTGTGCTTAAAGAGAAAATTTAGGCCTAGGAGGAGGAGGAAGCTGGCCTAATCACACAGCTAGTAATGACTATAGCTAACATCTATCATATCTTATCTGTATGCCAGGTATGCTTAAAATGTTTCGTTTTTAACAGGTATTATCTCATTTGACCTTTGTAACTACTTTATTAGTTAGATTCTGTAGTAGTGACATAGCTTGATTTTTAACCCATATTTTAATTGTTATTTTTTATAACTAATTTAAAAATAAAGAAAAATTACACTCTTAAACCATGAAAGAATGTGAAAGTGTTCTGTGATCACAGATATTATAATTATATAATAGACCAACAAAACCCAAGATTTTCTTTATGACAAATAGTATTTATACATACCAAAAAATAATATTTTTGGTAATAAATTGGAAATACTCATTGAATTTCAGGGTCTTTTTGGAGTTCCCGAGCTCAGTGCCCCAGAAGGATTTCGTATCGCACAAGAAAACGCCTTGAGAAAGACAGATTTGCTAGTGGCGCGCGCGTGTTCCACTCCACCTGGACCACAGACTGTGCTCATCTTTGACGAGCTCTCTGATGCCTTGTGCAGGGTGGCTGACTTGGTAAGATTTGGTGTTAAGACTTGTAACTCCCTCTCTAAAATTTAAAGTTTATTAGGTTTAATATTAGACTGCAAGGTTAAAAATGTCTGAACTATTTGAGAGCTGTTATATGTAATTTGTTATAGTGAAGTATGTCATTAAGAATGGGAAAAATGTGTAGGAAATTGTGATATTTAGAACTTGTAATTTAATATGTATATTTAATAAAATATACACGTCATATGTAGTAAAAGAATAATCACTCATATGTCAAAGGTTTTTTTGTATGACCAAGATTTTTTTTTTAATCATTTAAAAAATTTTTCAATTACAGTTGACATAGATATTATATTAATTTCAGGTGTATACCCCAGTGATTAGCTTAAGTGATCATCCTGAAAAATCTCATACCTGTCTGACACCATACATAGTTATTAGAATATTATTGACTATATTCTCTATGCTATGCTTTACATCCTTATGACTACACTATAACTAATTTTTATTTGTACTCCTTAATCCATTCACCTTCTTCACCCATCCTCCTAATCTCCCTCCCATCTGGCAGTCATCAGAATGTTCTCTCTTTCTATGAGTCTGTTTCTGTTCTGCTTGTTTGTTTATTTTGGATTTTTAGATTCAATTGTTGATTAGATAAATATTGCCATTTTATTGTTCATATTTTTATTCTTTTTTTTCTTCTTCTTAAAGAAGACTTTAATATTTCATGTAATACTGGTTTGGTGATGATGAACGCTTTTAGCATTTTCTTGTCTTTATCTGACCTTTAATTCTAAATGATAGCTTTGCTGGGTAGAGTAATCTTGGTTATAGGTCTTTGGTTTTTATTACTTTGAATATTTCTTGTCACTCCCTCTGGCCTGCAAAGTTTCTTTTGAGAAATCAGCTGACATCTTATGGGTTCTCCCTTGCTGCTTTTCCCTTGCTGCCTTTAAGATTCTCTGTTTATCTTTAACCTTTTGCATTTTAATAATGATGTGTGGTGGTGTCTGCCTCTTTGGACTCATCTTGTTTGGGACTCTATGTACTTCCCGGACTTGTATGTCTATTTCTTTCACCAGGTAAGGGAAGCTTTTTGTCATTATTTTTTCAAATAGATTTTCAATTTCTTGTTCTCTCTCTTCTTTTTCTGGCACCCCATGATGCGAATGTTGGTATGCTTGAAGTTGTCCCAGAGGTTTCTTATACTATTTTCATATTTTTGGATTCTTTTTTCTTTTTGCTGTTCTGATTGGGTATTTTTTGCTTCCTCATATTCCAAATTGCTGATTTGATTCTCGGCATCCTCTACTCTACTCTTGATTCCTTGTAAATTATTCTTCATTTCAGTTTGTGTATGCTTAATTTCTGACTGGCCCTTTTTTATGTTGTTGATGTGTTCACTAAGTTCCTTGAAGTTCTCACTAAGGACTAAGTCCTTAAAGTTCTCAAAGCTCCTTGAAGTTCTCAGTAAGTTCCTTGAGCCTCCTTATAAACATTCTTTTGAACTCTGTATCTGGTAATTTGCTTACTTCCATTTCATTTCATTCTTTTTCTGGAGTTTTCTGTTTTTTTCATTTGCGACATGTTTCTTTGTCTTGGCATTTTGGCTGCTTCCCTGTGTTTGGTTCTATGTATTAAGTAGAGCTGCTATGTCCTCTGGACTTGGTAGAGTGCCCAGTGGCTCAGCTTCCCAGTCACTTGAGCTGGGCACTCCAGGTGTACCCCTATGTAGGGTATGTACACTGTCCTGTTGTAGTTGAGCCTTGATTGTTGGAAGGGATTGACATCTAGACCAGTCGGCTGTAGCTACAGTGGAAGAGCTTCTGTGCATGAGCTGACCCTATGGAGCAGGACTTGCTTCATTGGGACTTTGTGTCATTCATGGAGGTGGTAGGGTTGTAATCTGATGTAGTCTGAAGCTGACTACCGGGTACACTGGCTCTGGGGCCTCCTGGGAGGTGCAAAGTCAGCTACTTCGTGTGTCCTGCCTGGGGGCATCCGACACAAGCTACAGTGATCTGCAGATGTTTGCTATTTGTGTTGGGCTTGAAGGTTCCCAGGAGAGGTCAAGCTATGAACCAGTCATATGTAAAAGCCATTGGACACAGCTTGGGTGGGCCTGCAAATTGGGTAGAATGAGGTCTCAGGGAATCACCAGGGTTGGGCAAACAGTATGAGCCAGGTTAATGGAGTTGTAGGTATGGTGCCTGCCTGTGGGTTCTGTGTAGGGGGAGAACTCAGCAAAGGAACAATGGCCTCTTCTAGAACTTTTGTTTGGGAGAAAGCTGCCCCACCAGCTGTTGTCCTGATGCCAGACAATTTAGTTCCTCCCCATATGTCCCTGGTTCCTTTCAAGCTGCTGCCCCAGTGCTGGCGTTCAGAGTGAGTGAGTTCAAGTAAGTCTGTGCACAGGCTCTTTTATAGGACTGACTGGGATTCCAGCAGCCTCCGTCTTACTCAGCCAAAAACCCTGCTAGTTTTTATAGCCTGAAGATATGGGGACTTCTCTTCCAGACACTGGATATCTGGGCTGAAGGGTCTGGTGTGGGGCTGGGACCCCTAGTCCTCAGAGGGAACCTCTGCAGCTAAGATATCCCTCCCAATTAAAAAACTGACACACATGTTTGGGACCAGCCCATTCCATGCCTTCACCCTTCTTACCAGTCTTGATGTGGCTTCTTTAATTCCCTAGTTGTAGGACTTTCACTCAGCCAGATTTTAGGCGGTTCTGAATGATGTTTATTCTGTAGTTTAGTTGTAATTTTGATGAGATTATAGGAGGAGGCAAGTACCACATTTATTTATGTCGCCATCTTCCGTGACCAAGATTCTTTCTTTATGAAAACTACCAAAATTCTAATAAAAATTTATGTTTGTTTACAATAAAATTAATCTTATAAAAACCAGTTTTTATAAACCTTTTAGGGAATGCATTTTGTAATTAAAAGTAAGGTTTTAACATCAAACTGATTATATTAAAAATGCTTGTTTCTCATTATTTTGAAGTTGAAATAGAAGTGTACCTAGGTTTCTTCAAACACAAAACCCATTGCTAAGGCAGAAGGCATGATTTTGTCAGCCCAAGAGAATCACGTCTTGATTAGTCATATCAATGAAGGTGACTATAGTGGTGTACATGATGCAAGATCGTGATCACTCATGCTGCTGTCTACTTGGTATTGGACAGTATATAGTTCTTTCTTCACATTCATTTAAAATTGAGCCCCCACCATGTGCCGTGCCAGGCTCTGTAATAGGCACTAGGAATACAATCCTGATTAAGACAGACCCAATTTCTGACCTCGTGGAGCATTATAGTGTTAACTTGTTTTTAAATCTCACTAAGCACCAGGCTGTGATAACCACTTTACCTGGATTAATAGATTGAACCTTCTCACCATATCTAATTTTCAGATGAGGAAAGAAAGGCACTAAGAGGTTAAATGATGTGTCCAAGGTCAACTAGCCAGTAAGGAGAAGTTGGGCTTTGAGTCCAGGTAGTCTGGTTGCAGAGCCCATGTTCTTACCTGCTGTTCTGTACACTCCTGGGGGCTGGCTGGCTGCTTAGATATGATTAAACCTTACCCGGAGAGGTTGGAAAGTTGGTAAGCCTTCCCATCATTTAAGAGAGTATTTATTTATTTATTATAAAAATTATCATATAGTAAAATTGACTTCTTGGGGGAAGGTGGTATAGTTCTATGAATTTAACTCATTTTTCATGTAGCTACCACCACAGAGTATGAAAATATTCTATCACTCCAAAAAAGCTCCCTTTAATAATTACACCCCTACCCCCACCTCTTACCCCTAGGCAACTACTTTCGTACATATTTATATGTGTCTTTTCTAAAATGTCAGGTAATTGGAATCATATATGCCTTTTGAGGTTGACTTCTTTCAACTAATTTAAAGCCTCTTCATTTTTTTTCTCCTGAAATGTTTTATTTTCCCATACAACTAAATTGAGCAGTAACACCTTTCAGTTCATCACACAATCACAGTAAACATCCTAGTTCTAAGGAGGTTGATAAAATATTTTGAAGGGTGTTTTTTATTTTTTTATTTCAGGAGTGAAGTGAGATACGTTGTGGGCCCCTGGTTGTCAGGTCTCAGTTTTAATGGGTCTTGGTTCTTTCTGTTCCTTTAGTAAGTGTATGCTAGTGCTTTGAATGATGTAAATTATATGAGATGTATTACCAAAAAGGAAGTCTCCCTTCCCTGCTGAATTATATCACTGAAATCTGAAAAACAAAATGTCAGTGATTTTCACTATGTTTAATTGACTATTGGCTTTTTATGTAAAAAATCCCAGGACTCACTGTTTATTTGTTGTCTTAGCCTCCATCTGAATTAAGCAGTGTTCTAGGACTTTTTCCACCTTTTTGCTTTTGCTCCTTTGTTAAAAGATTTTAACTTCTCTGCCCCATAGCTTGTCCTATTTGTGAAGGTTTTTATATTTATGAAGTCTAATATCACATTAAAAACTAATATATGTCTTTGGGGAAAAAAATTTCAAAGAACCTTATTTCTTTTTGAGTTTTTAAGATTTTACCTGTCAGTAAATTTAATACTGTTATAAGACAATGATTTTAAAAACTATTTTCTACCAAGTTGTCATTTTGCTTTACTTTTCTTTTTTAATACCCTTGCTGTGTAACAGAATTGTTTCTCTCATCGCTACTACAAATGAGTATGCTAGTGTTTTAAGTTTTAATATCAATTATAAATTCTGCAACATGTAAATTGACAATTTATACAATATATTGTTAATTTTACATAGCCCAGTTTTCAGGTGCTTTAATACTGTTATTTCATCAAAAGTTGTATGTAACTATGGATTTAAACGTTTTTTGTTAAAAAGTATTTGATAATAAAATTAGGAAATTTTACTTGTGATCTTATTTTGTTATATGTCATACATGTCTTCTTGAAGGATAAAGGAAAAATAGTGTAGCATTTTGTTTTTTTCCTGCTTTTTTTTTGCAATGTACTGCAATTAACATGAAAAGTAAAATCTAGTTTTACCTGATTTCATATTAAAATATGAATTCTAGCTCAGTTTGATTCTAAGGTCAATATAGAAGCCTCTCAGCAGTGGTAGCTGTGTGCCCTTTAGATTAGGACTAGGAATTCATACTTACTATAAGGGCTATAAAGAATATGCCTTTGTTTTCTGCACAAAGGCTAGAATGTAGTTAAATCAGTTTTGAAACTGTAGTATGTTTCAATTAAAAAAGAAAAAAGAAAAGTCTCTAAGAGTTGTTCTCTGAATCCAGGTTAACATGTGAGAACCATATTGTAGATGAGTTTAATTAGAAAGTCTTAGAATATGTGAACAAGGATCTGCTTGTTTGAATTGTAGAATTAGGAAGAATTCACTTGGTATATATTGACATTAGGAGAAAGAGTCTAAAAGAAAGTTAGTAAAAATATTAAAATCTTTGGGCTGAAACCAACTTGGTTCCAAGGAAGAACAGAATAATGTTCAGAAAGAAGCTGCTTTGCCCTCCCTACTAGTTAGGAAAATTTCATTAATGGAAATGCATAGGTCAAGCCAAATGGCACATTTAAAACTAGATTTTTCATTTCCCCCTTAGATTTTGGAAGAAAGCTTCCCATCAAATTCCCTTTTGGTTTTGTCTTTTCTCTTCATTAGGCTGATTTTGTGAAAATTGCTCACCCTGAGCCAGCATTCAGAGAGGCAGCAGAAGAAGCTTGTAGAAGTATTGGCACCGTGGTAGAAAAGTATGTTTTCTTCCCCCTGCGTTACAGTATTGGGTGATGTAGTTTTGTGGATTTGTGCTCTAGGAAATGTATACGTGGGGCTTGTTCTTCCCCAGCAGGGTGGGGGATAGTATGTGTGAATATTGCACAGCTGCCCAGGGTGTTCAGCAATCGGGAGGGCCCACGGGGCAGGCAGCAGCTCTCATCTTCCTTGCACAAGCAGTGTGACTTTAGGCTAGTTATTTGTCATTTAGTTTCCTTGTCTGTAAATGGGGTAATAAAATGATTTGCCTCTGAGGGTTGTGATGAAAATAAAATAATACAAGCGCTCATAAAGGTGTCAGGAACATGTCAAACCTCAATATCCTTATTATCATTGGTTATATTAAGTCAGTTTTTTTTTTAGTATCTCAGTGGTAAGTTGGAATTTAGACTGTCATGTAATTAAACTGTTGTTGTGTTGATGGCTCTGGACCACAGGGCAAGAAGCCAACATTATCTCTACACAGTGGCCTTGCAATCCCTGTGGATTTGGAATTAGACACATCTAGAGAGATGATAAAACATTCTGGGAGGGCTGAGACAGGCTGAGACTATGATGAAGTGACTTATTTAAAAGTTATTCTGAGGTAAATTTAAATATTGTAAGCCATCTCCGAGAGTTCCAAGCAGCTTGTTAAAATAACTTGGAGGTGGACAGTGCCATATTAAAAAACACTTAGGTGCATGATGCCATGCCAGAAAGCCAGAAAGCGTCTAAAGCTACTGAGAGCACTATGCTCACCTGGAATTCACAACCAAATAATCAGGGCCAGTCAGCACGGGAAGACTTTCACAAAGCAGAATCTGGATAAGGAGGAGGGTGAATGTGGAGGTGACTTCTCCAGTTCATCAAGGCTTCCTGGAGGACCTGATGCTACAGGATGTGCTGCTGCTGCTTTCCCCACTGAGCATTGTGGGATCTCTTTGGGATAAGACATGTCATTTTTGTTATTGCCATTGAAAATCAAATTGTTGAATGGGACACATCTGGTCCCTGCAAGTTCCAGACACTGAACATGAAGAAGGGGCTGAAATTGGGGTCTCCTTAGGAGAGAGTATAGCCTAGGGAGAGGCCCCAAGGTATGAATCAGAGCCAAAGCCTGGGTTGCGTGCCTAAAGTACCCTGATTCTGTCTGGTGTAATGGGCTCTTATTTGTCTGGGAGGACAACAGGGAACCCTATTGGTTGTGAAGTGTTATCAAGAGTGTCTGTCCAAAGTATTCACTTCCACTGGACAATGTTTCTGTCTTTTGTTATTTATAACATTCCTCTGCTGCCCTGAGACCAGCCCAGGAACCCAAAAGTAAAGTCACCAACCAACTCATAGCCTTCACTAGACCTTGATTTTATTTTTTAATATATTTTTTATTAATTTTTTACAGAGAGGAAGGGAGAGAGATAGAGAGTTAGAAACATCGATGAGAGAGAAACATCGATTAGCTGCCTCCTGCACATTTCCT